TTTCATTTCGGGGGGCTCTTGTGGCCTTCGCTTCGTGTTGTCATTAAAATGTAAATCCGTTTAATTAACATTTTTCCCCCTCCCCAGGGAAAAAAAAAAAAAAAAAACAAACGAACGACCACCGGCCGATAAGGCAGCCCAAAAAGAATTGTTATAAATTTTAAATAAATTTTGACTTGGTCACCGTATTTCGGATTCGTATTCGTATTCGGATTCGAATTCAATTCGATTCGATTGGCAGCTGCATCGTGAGAGTTTTGACATGTCCATGGCAAAAGAGATTTTAGACTTGGGTGGCTGTTTGTTTAGCTCCTTCGTTGTCGTTGTTTTTTTTTTGTTTCTCTTTTGGGGGCATTAAAATTATGCATAATTTACAGATTAATATGTGGCAGCATGGTGGGCCCCCGTCGGGGGATCTCTACTCTACTCTACTCTTTTTTTTTTCTTGGTCTACCTGATCCGCGGGCTTAATTAAGACATGGGGCTCTCCGGCTTTGGATCAGAGTTTCGTGTTGATATTTATGGTATAGATCGCTCAATATGCATATCGCTTTAATACTTAATACAGCTTAATAAAATAAACGACTCAACTCGACTCGACTCGGGCTCTTTGGCTTAGTCATCATCAGAGGCGCTTCAATTATGCCCATAATTGGTCAACAGGTAGCCGAAAATGGTTGTGTTGCCTAATTGAGTCCGGAGATGATCATTGAGAGAGTTTATCATTGTCATTTGGCCCCGAAAGCCGGTGCCTTAGAACTCGCGATCGTGCGAGATCATTGAACCAATGATCAGTGGGATCAAGCGATCATCCGATCATCCGATCAACCAATCAAGCCATCAGTTGTTCAAACGCTAAGCAAAAACAAAAAAAAAAACAAACGAAAAAAATAAAACATTTTCTTGATCACTTGATGCCAATTTCAATTTGGCATCGATCTTCTTCACACGATCTCTCAGTATTTTTTGTTTGCCAAAAGAAACTTACTTGCAGAGTTGCTGACATTCACTCACGATCACCTTTTGCCTGAGTTCCTCTATTTTTGCTATTTTTTTGCTATTTTTATTTTGCTATTTTTGCTAGCTTTTCTGAACTTTCCACTGAGTTGGAGAGTCAATTCAATCTAACTGGCGATCACCGTTAACTCGCTGGTTACATGCCAAATGGAATCAAAGTGTGAATGATCATTCAATTAACCCAGCACGCCAGCAACACCAGCAACACAAGCTGCAGCAGCAACAACAGAAAAAGCAACAGCAACAACTGCAACAACTCGGCGACAGCAATCACACAAGGCAACAACGACAGCAGTGCCATCATCAGTTAAATTATGTGATAATATGCCAACAATGAGTGTGCAACAGCAACAGCAGCAGCAGCAGCAACAGCAGTAACAGCAACAACAGCAATCAGCCGGCAGCAACAGTGATTTTACCTTTAAGCAATCAACACGCAAAAGCCCAAAACAAACGTGTTGCTGGCGGGGGAAGGAGCAACATCGAGGCACACAGCAGCAGCAACAACAGAAGCTCAAGCTGGGTGCAGATGCAGCCAGCAACGAGCAGCAAGCAACGAGCAACCAGCGAGCAGCAACACGTAGCAACAGCAACACGGCAGCAACAGCAGCAACACCAAAGGCAACATGAAATTGTCGCACCATTTTTGGTATTGACCGCCGGCGGCTCAATCAGTTTGTCACCCGGGCGATATATAGAGTGATTAACTGCTTCACGGATTGGATTGTACTTTGTCAATACAAAACTTGACACTGCAAACTGCAAGCAACAGCAGCACCACCAGCAACATGCAACATGCAATATCTACGTGATGCAATGCGCAAGTGCAATCATATATGTGCTAAAAATCTAGACAATATTTGATGCATAATTGCCTTGGGTTTTTGTTCGCCAATCAATTCAATCAGCAAATACAATCACGACAACAGCACTAGCAGCAGCAGCAGAAAGCCCAGCAGCAACATCAGCAATCTGGTTGCTGCCTGTTTGAGTGACGACAATCGCACTTCATGTCTAATTAGACTTGTTTATGCCCATTTGGAATAAAAAAAAAAAGAAAAAAGTGCAGAGCAGAGAACAAACTGCATCGCATGCTTATATTTTTATGGCTATCTTCACGGTTATTTTCATTTAAATCGCAATTCAAGCTCGGCGCACAAAACTCAGTGACCAAAATGACATTTTAAATGACAATTTTGCGCCTTGTGCACCGTGCATGGCAGGCCAATGAAAAATTAACGTAATAATGCAAATTGTTTTATCAATAAATTCTAGACACACACACACACACACACATATGCAAACATCTACACTAGCGGCGTAATTATGATGATTGCTGAAATGAATTTATGTGTCAATAAATTTAAAGCAAATTAGCAAATGACGTTTTAAGTAGACGACGACGACGCGTTTTGCCCGCGATTTATGGACTTGTGTTGCCTCTTTACTCTTTTTTTGTTTGTTTTTTTCTGTTTATTTCGACTTTCGGTTCGAGTTTGATGGATGATCGCCCGGCCATAAAGTGTTTGCCTTTAAAAGGCTTTCCAGCTTGGCTGATTGGCGATTTTCCGGGGGCTCAAAAATAAAAGCGGGTGGAGCAAAAGCGTTTAGTTCAAAATGGCGGGGCAATTAATCAGCTCTTTGTTGGCATTTTGTTTGGCCTTTTGTGCCTTCGTTTTTTCGGTCTTTTTCGGCTCTGAAGTGAAGTGTTCGATTGAATGCGCCGTTTTTCAATGCCCATGGAGGGGGCTCATATCTGATTCGATTGGATCGACTGGGAAATACCATCAATTTTTGATTTTCATGATTTTCATTTTTATTTTTTCCAATAAACTAATATTGTATATGGTACTCTCAGTTACAATCAATTTAAAATGAGTGCTTTGAAACACATACGACACTCATTAGAAAAAAAAAAAAAATATATATATATATTAATGTATTAATTAATATATTTTTCAAATTATTGACTTTAAACTTTATTTTCTAAATACTATTATTGATATTTTGTGGTATAATTATATTCATATATCTACAAAGGTACTCATATTTTCAATATCGTGAACCTCTTAATTATATTTTCTATTGAGTAATTAAAAATTTATAAAAGACTGTTTGTCGAATTAAATATTCGTTTGGTACTTATTCGTTATTAAGAACAATTATTACTTCAATGTTAATCTAAAATTCAGAGATTTGATCACATAAAAGTGTTATTTGGTTAGCTATGTTTAGTATTTCCAAAGGACTCATTCATGTAGTCTCTGTTCCAAATAGGTGATATCTTATTTTTCCGCTTACTCATAGCTGGTATTTACTATGTACTCATCATTGCGTTCAACAATTCATTAAACTTTTGTACAAAATGTTGATATTCAGTGCCCACTGTCGTGGTGCAAAATGAAGTCATATCCCAACTTTCCGTACATCGATGCAGTCCCATCGGGCACTGATACTGATTCATCTTTGAACCGCCTCCCCATCGCATTAGTCACACCTTCGTTTCTTTGGGCCCGAGTCGCCATTGGTGGTCTGATAGTCTGGTGGTTTTGGTTTGGTTTTGGCTCTGACTTTGGCTCTGACTCTGGCTTTTGGCGAGAGGCGTGCGAATCCGGCGCAGATACAAGATACGAGATACTCGTACTATGAGATACACATTGTGGGCTGTCTCGCTTTGTTTGCTCTCTTTGTCTCCTTGCCTCGCTCGTTCGTTGTAGCAACAACCAAAAGTTTTTTTTCTTCTTTTTTTTTTCGTTGTTTTTTTTTTTCATTCCAAATTACACGAACAAAATGGCGACGGGTGCTGCTTGTGGGGTCTCTACACGCAGCAGCAACACAGCAACAACAACAACAGACACAGCAGCAACTTGTCCAGGTTTTACTAGGCCTGTTTGTCGCTTAATCGAAGTCGAGCCGACGAGTTATGGTAATTAAAAAGGTGTTCCTTTCTGCAACAACGGATCGAAACGTATCGAAATGGATTGGGCAATTTATACAGAGGGATATTGCAGCTTGCTTGGGGGGTCTTTCTCTCTCTCTCTTTCTCTCTTTTTCTCTCTCTCGCTCTCTCTCTCTCTCTATCCCTGTCAGCCTTTTTTCCGCCGCCGACAAATTCATATTTTATGACATCAACTTTGTATTGGCAAGAAGGGCTCCCTCGCAGAACGAAGTTCTTTGCTTCCATTCTATACCGTCCATAGTATTATAGTATGTATGTTCCTCATACATATATATACTCCTCGATTTTCTCGTGCCTTTTGGTGGGTGGTCGTTTGGCTGGCTGTTTTGCACAAATGTTGCAAATGTTGCCGCCGTCGTCGCCAATGTTGCTGGCGTGTAAAGTGAACGGCGACGACGACGCCAGCAAATCGTCAGCAATGTCGCCGTATATTTTGGGGTCCCTCACCTAGGCGAATTTACGGTAACTGCACAGTGAGAAAAGCTTGATGTTTTCGGAGAGAAACATTGTAAATTTAAAGGCTATATTATAATTCAAAAGGAAGTACAAAGCTAAACAAAATATGTTTTTCATGGCAAAGCCAACATTGTTCATCATCAATAATCAAAATGATCGTTAAAAATAAACAAATAATCCTAATTCTTAATTTGATATAGATCATAATCTAAATAAAGATATATTTTAGATTTTTTATATATTTGACTATTTAGTTGGGTGTTTCTCTTTTGTGTTTTTCTTTTTTTTAATTTGGTATTTTCAGGGAATATTGCTCTGTAAAAACAATTGTTTATTTTCCATGTGAAAAGTCCCTATATTTAGGTGTGTTTGTGTGCCTATATTTTTCTCAGTGTGCCTGTGCTGTGTGAAGCTTTCTGTCGTTCAGAGTTTTGTGAATTCTTTGCGCCGTTCCTTGGTCTCTCGTTTTTGTTTTCCCCCGGTTGGTCGAAACGAACTAACCATGGCCGCCTTACAATACTCCACTAATCCCCCCATTTGCATCTATTTTTATTTTCCCCGCCCGCAGACGATCCTGAACTCGATGCACAAGTACCAGCCGCGTTTCCACCTGGTGCGAGCCAATGACATCCTGAAGCTGCCGTACTCCACGTTTCGCACGTACGTCTTCAAGGAGACCGAGTTCATCGCCGTCACTGCATATCAAAATGAGAAGGTGAGTGCCGAGTGCTGAGTGCTGAATGACCAGTCATTGTCATTGCCTATTAATTGATATTTATTCCCCGCAGATAACTCAATTGAAAATCGATAACAATCCCTTCGCAAAGGGCTTTCGTGATACTGGTGCTGGAAAGCGGGAAAAGAAGTGAGTATCACTAGTGAATATGAGCTCAAAGTACATATTTTCGATTGGATAATGCACTTTTTTGGAGTGAGATCAAATATTAAGTACAGAAAGTAAAAACTATATTAACAAATAGTTATAGCACGAATTTAGAAAGAATTCAGCAGTAAATTAATTTGTCTGTTAATACAATCTATACTAGCTGAAAATTGCGAACAATTGAATAATTCCTACAAAATTTTATAAAAATATAAATAAAAACAATGATTTTTAGTACAAATACATAGCATTTTAGGAGCTCAACGTATATTTTAAAAGGCTTACAAGGCGGTTGCCTTTCACTGAAATCTGTGTCTTCTTCTAATCCCTTCTATTGCCCCGGAAAAATCATTATCAAAAGCAAACTAATCAGGACACGGCTAATGGGAAAAAGGGGAAAACTCGGTTGGCCTTTTGTGGCTGTTCAGACAATCAAAACTTTGCAGCTCCCTTAGTCGAGAACTCATTTGTCTCCCCGGTCTGGCCTATCTACAATTTACCATCTACCATCTACCATCTGCATCGACATCTCCATCTCAATCAGGCCAGCCATCCATCTATGTATCTTCTTCCCCCAATTTTTTCACTGCTTTGTGGCTTGATTAACAGGCTAAAGCTACAGATACAAAAACAGATACAGATGCGATGCAGATACAAAAACAGAAATAGATACAGATACAGATACAGATAGAGAGAGGGACATTAATTTTTGTCAAATCTATGCGGAACTAATTAGCCCTACAGCTTGTCAAATTGCAAGTCATACAAAGGGGAGGAAGGACTTTGTGGGCGTGGCAGAGCCAACCAACAATGATGATGCTCATGGCGATTTGGCTTCTGTTTTTTGATTTTTCGATTTTTCGTTGGTAATACTGCTGATGACTGGCACCTCTGATGGCTGCTAGAACATGTAATCCATATTGATGGATTGATTGCAATTTCCTGTTGTGGGGGGGGGGATGAAAAACCGAAGCGCAGGAAAAGCTTTGAGTTTTTAGCACACAGATTTTGCAATTTCTGTATGCCACCCGTTGGGTGGTTTTTCATTGGGAGCTTGCTCATTCGGCGGTGGGTCCTGAGATCCCCCTTTTCGAGTGGTTCCGGTTTCCTGTGGGTGGTGGTGACTTAGCATAATGATGAATGACATTTAATAGCCAAAGCGGACTGTCGAAATGTCCATGCCTAAACGTTACAAATCAATTTTCAGTCCCAGCCACCCTGGGAGAACATCCACCACTCACATTTGACTTGACACAAACAATTTACTCAAGTCGAGTTTGGCTTTTTGTGTTAGAACCGAGAGAACTGATTACTTCTGGCTTGATTGGCATTAGCGTGTCTGTCCAAAGCCTAAGCTCAACTTTCCACCGCCAAAGTTTGAGGCCGAGCCGGAAAAAAAAAATCTGAGAATTTGCCTGGTCATTGATGTGACAGCCAGTTGTCAGGCAGTCAGTTAGTCAGTTGGTCGTCCACTTTGCTCCACTCTACCCAATTGTTAATTAAATGCTGGGAACTGAGGCAGCCCGAAAAAGGGGTCAAAAACAAAACCACTAAACCGCTTACAATTCCGCAGAGAAAAAGGCGCAAAGAAGTTAAAAGAAGTCCTGGGAGAGCTGCCAAAAATCCTTGGCAATTAGTGACGACTTAGTCAACTCTTTTTTTTTTGTGAGCTACCCCCTTCTAATAACTGCCACGCCCCTGCCATGGCAACAACAACAAAAAAAGGGAAATATATCCTGGGTGCTGCTGTTAAATGATGATGATGATGATGATGATGGCATTCCAATGTTGAGTCCTTCACAGCAAGAGATGCTAATTGGTGGCAATCTAGTGCGCAACTTCCGCCGGAATGATATTCAACTGCATGGAAAAAAAAAACCCTTTTGCGGGACTTCTTTAACCCCCTTTCGAGAACCACCTTTTTAAAAACCCCTGCCACTGCCCGCGGCGCAACGAGAACCGGAAATCCAAAGTGAAAACGTTTTAACAGCAGCAATTGAAATTCGCTTTTCTCGGCGCCTTTTGTTGTTCCTGTTGCTCTGGGATTTTTTCGCAAAACCTCTCACCCCATTCAAACATTTTTTTTTTTTTTTTTTTTTTTTTTTTTGGAATTTTTGCTTACCCGAGGCGTTAGTTGACAATAGGTCTCGGTCTCTGGATATTTATATTTATATATATATTTATATATATATATCTATCTAAAAGAGGGGGTTTTTGTGGGCGTGCGTGGGCTGTTAAAGCCGCAAATTTAGACGTAATTCAAAAATTACAGGGCACACAAAACAGCGCAATTTCTTTGGACCTTCTGGAAAGCACCACACCCATGGCAAAATAGCAACTCCCTTTTATTTCGGGGGCGTTTACTTCGCCGCCACAGACAACAACAACAACAATGGGAGACAAAAGGGCAATAGATAAACGTCTTTGGGTTTTGGGCCCAATTTGATGGGCCCACTGCATGAGATAATACAGGGGCGGATTAACTGGAAAATTACCCCTAAATGGTGCGCAAAAATGCTTTGAATTTAACTAAAGACTAAAGATTAATTTCTTTTATAACATTGCCATTCATTTTATTCCACTTTGATATTATAATATCTATAAGAAATCTTTGTGATACCATATAATTAACAGTTTGGATAGTTATCTTGTGTTGCTTTGGTCACTTAAGGGCCCCAAAAATGAGGCCTCAAATGAAAATTGGTTTTGCCGTTCCTGACGAACCCCCTGTGGAAAGTTGGCCGTCTTGGCCTTTGTAGTTAAGTGGGTGGGTCAGATACGTTGCCTGGATTAACACAAATTGATTTGCTATTAAATTAGGCTCTCGCACACACACCGCACACACACACACACAGGTAGGTGGAAAAACAGTTAAGTGTAAAAGAAGACGCCCTTGGCGCAATGCCAGCAATGCAAAAGTGGGTGGTGGCTTGGGTGGTTTGGGTGGTTTCCACTGGGTGTGGTTGCTGTGATAATGATACACACACCCGCACACACACACACACACACACCATTCGCATGTGTGTTGGCTGGCTAAAATTGCCCAATTTGTGAGGCAGCTCGGCTTTGATGTGTGAACAACAGCGGTGCGGAAAAATAAGGAAAATTGAAATGTGGAAATGTGGGGGGAGTGGTGGAAGATTGGCCAGAACAGACACTAAATTACACTAACGTGTTTTGAATTATTTTTCAATTTCATTGTCAGCCGCAGACACACGGATAGACGTACGGACAGGCTTGCGGACAGACTACAGACTACGGACGTATAAAACGGACGGACGGAGAGAGCTTCGGCCTGTTTCCGCCTCGCATTGTTACATTTCAATTAAGGTGCAGTGGGGGAATATGGGCGGTGGTTTTTGTGGGTGGGTGGGGTGCCAATGTGGGGCACACGTCACCCAACTGACTGAAGGTAGCCAATTTTCGGGGCTCGAACGGTGTGTGTGTGTGTGTGTGTGTGTATGTGTGTGTGTGTGTGTGTGTGTGTGTGTGTGTGTGTGTGTGTGTATGTGTGTGGAACAGGGAAAAGGGATCAAACCGCCGCCAGCGCTGGTTTATCATTTAGCAGATATTTCAGTTACCAACAATATTATCAAAGCTTGGTCCTCTGATCCCAAACGAAAATTCCGCTGGAAAATCAACCGATAAATGCGGCTAAAAGGTTTTACAATTTATGGCAAGAATGGGTAGCGAAACTGGCTATATATATATATTCATTAACACTTTAATATTAATATATATCAACATCGAATCCAAACAGTGTTAAGGTACCTTTTGTATTTGATTTTCAAATCATATCAACATTTATAGATGGTTTAGGTTTCATACATTTTGGTCTATCATTTGTCATAGATTGCAATATAAAAACATATTTTGTTAACCCACTCAAAAGTGCCAATTATCCTTAATTATGGGGTATCCTTTTCCACCTGACCATTGGATGTTCTAATTTGTGGCCCCCGTCTCTCGTACAACTGTTGTTACAGGCAGGCGTTGATGTCGAACCGAGGGTCCGATTCGGACAAGCTAAACCCCACGCATGTGAGCAGCTCGCGGGCACCGCTCCACCTGGGCCACGCCGGTCGTCCGCCCCATCTGCATCCCCATGCCGGATTGCTGGACAACCAGCAGGACGACGACGACAAGCTCCTGGACGTCGTGGGTCCGCCGCAGAGTCCGCTCCTGCCGCTCAGCCACTCGCTGCAGCAGATGCACGCCCACCAGCACTCCGGTGAGTAACTAACCATTTAATATACTTAATTGCTCTTTGGTGATGGGTACAGAGTAAGATCAATATGGAAAACTAGTTCACTCTCAGATTTTTGAAGGCTCATCACAAAAGAAGTAAGCAAAATATAAAACGGTGCTTTTTAAAAACAAAAATAAAATATATAATGTTTTTGGTACGATAACAAAGAGTATGTCCGGGAATAATATATATATAAAATTGTTAAGATAAAGAAAATAGATAAGATAAGATAGATACACATATATATATTTAATTTGAGATTGCCATCATATTAAAGAACAATAATTTAAATAAGTAAAAGAAATAGTCGAAAGTCTTAAACGAATTTTTTGAATGAGTATAGGAAATTATTATGAAGAAACTATTAGTTTTTAAAATCTTTATGAGTTAGTAAAAGTACTTCAGTATCATAACTTGAACAAAAAATCATACACTCTTTTTGCTCAGATCTTTAAACCCTAGTCGGCCTTCATAGTGGAAAACATTACATTAATACAAAATTAAATACAGAATCAGAGTTTGCCAACAATAATAGGTAGTTGCAATGGTAAAATTCATATAATTTGATATGTATCAAAAATAGGTTATTTGTTGATAAGAATTGAAAAGAATTCAAATAAGTCAGGTTTGGTTTTATGTATTTGAATACATCCCATCACTGTTCTCCATCTAACAATACCTGATTTCTATCCATTGTCTTTAAAACCCTTCTAATGACCCCTTAACCTTGTTTCTCCCACCGAACAGCCTTGGCCGCCTGGTTCAATCACCTGGCCGGAGCGGGAGCCGGCGCCTCGGAGCACGCCGCAGCGGCGGCCGCCAATGCCAGTGCGGAGGATGCACTGCGTCGCCGCCTGCAGGCGGATGCGGACGCGGAGCGCGATGGCAGCGACTCGAGCTGCTCGGAGAGCGTCGGCGGGAGCACCGGCGGTGCCTTTAGGCCCACCTCGACGGGCAGTCCCAAGGAGGCGGTGGTGGGCGCGGCTGCCGCAGCGGCTGCCCTCAATGCCGGCGGCGGTGGCGGCGGCAGCTACCCATCGCCGAATATATCGGTGGGTCCGCCGATCCACCCGTCGCCGCACCTGTTGCCTTACCTCTATCCCCACGGCCTCTATCCGCCGCCGCACCTGGGCCTGCTCCACAATCCCGCAGCGGCAGCGGCCATGAGTCCGGCCGGCCTCAATCCCGGCCTGCTCTTCAATGCCCAGCTGGCGCTGGCCGCCCAGCATCCGGCCCTGTTTGGCCACGCCTACGCGGCGGCGGGACACACGCCGGTCTCGCCGCTGCAGGGCTTGAAGAGCCACCGCTTCTCGCCGTACAGCTTGCCGGGCAGCCTGGGCTCCGCCTTTGATGCAGTCACGCCCGGCTCGAATGCCAATCGCTCGGGTGACCCGCCCGGAATGCCAGCCGTGGAGAATGGCCCCCGGAGCTTGAGCTCCAGTCCGCGACCTCGGCCCGCCTCCCACTCGCCGCCCACGCGACCCATCTCCATGTCACCCACCACACCACCTTCGCTGATGAAGCGTGGCGCTGGCGGTGGCGGCGGCGGTGGCGGTGGCGGTGGCGGTGGGGTGTCCCAATCCCAGCACTCCCCTTCGGAACTCAAGAGCATGGAGAAGATGGTCAATGGGCTGGAGGTGCAGCACAATGGTAGTGCGGCGGCGGCGGCAGCAGCACTTCAACTGGCCGAGGAGGCTGCTCAGCACCACCATCACACCACCCAGGAGCACCACTCAGTGCATGCGCATTCGCATTCGCACTCGCACCATCAGCAGCAGCAGCAGCAGCAGTCGCACCACCAGCAGCAGCAGCAGCAGTCACACCACCACCACCAGACGCACCTCCATTCGCAATCGCAATCGCATCATGGAGCGAGTGCGGATCAGTGACAATTACTGGACGGCCGCTCCGATTGCGAGGATGCCGGCCTGGAACTGGAGCTCGAGCTGGAGCTGGAGGAGGATGTCGAGGAGCAGGATGATGGGGATGAGCACAATGAGGACGAGGATCGCAGCTCGGTGATCGATCTCGATCTAGATGTCGACGTCTGACCGCGAACGGACATACGTAGCAGGCTCTAGCCCCCGAAATTCATGGCCACCAACACCACCATCACCAGCACCACCAGCACCACCGTTCTTGTGGTTTAGTGTGCCGCCGAATCGAGTCGAGTAGAGTTGAGTCGAGTCGAGTGTGTTGTACATATAGCGATCAGCGATCAGCGATGTGACCCTAGCATGTAGGCATTTGTAGCATATAGCATTACAGACAGACACACAAGCAGACAGAGGTAGGAGAGCCCCCCCTTTTCCAGTCAATCAGTCCGCTTCAAATCGCCAGCCATAAGTACATTTTTTTTCTGTCTCGTTTCTAAGCAAAGCCTAGCCCCTAGAAATCGCTGGCGATTCGCAGGCAGAATGATTGACGGGGGAGCCCTGCGAGAGAAGCAAAAAAATAACAAAAAAAAAAAAAAAAAGGGGACAAGTGGCAAGAATGGACGAAACTTTTAGCGCCTTGAAGGGCCAACTCAAACCCTTCAAGATCGAATAAACAAAGGCAAAAACTAAATACAAAAAAAAAAAAAAAACAGAAGTAAGGGGCAAAAAGAGATTCCCTCATACAAATTTATAAAGGCATATATAAGATATGTATCACCCATATATGTATATTGATTGGATTGGAAATAGCAACATCAAAGATGGCGCCTCTTTATATACATCTAGAACACATATATATATAAAACAAAATATATATATAGTATATATAGAAGCTGATATATATACAGATTGTAACCTTAGTAAAACAAACAAAAATAAAAAATGAAAGGAAAAACCCACAAAAAAATACCACAAAAAAAAAACAAAATAAATGCAATTTTTTTTCTTAGTCTTAGGTGGATGAATTTTTTTTTTAGTAAACGTAAATAAAACCTATATACATAGAAATATATATACATGAATAATTTATGTAGCTCTTAAGTACCAAGATACCGTAAACACTCAACAAACACACAGACACATGCAGCACCACCTCACAATCACACACTCACTCACACACACACACACACACCAGTGACGAGTTTTCTTCGTAGACGATGGAAAATGCTTATCGAAACAAAAACTATATAAACTATGAGAGCTTGAGTTTTCCTAATTTAACTATAATATTTTTTTTTGTCCATATTTTTTTTTTGTACTTTTAAGTTCTAAAAACCAAAGAAGAAAGTAATCAATTTTTTTTTTCGTATTTTTATTTTAATTTTCGGAACCTCCTTGAGATGCTAATTTAGGGCACGAGTTCTGTGTGTGTTTATATCGTAAATATATATGCATATATACTATAAATGTATGAATAAAAAATATAATTTTTTTTATTAGTAAAGTACACTTTTTTTTGTGTAAAATGGATTGAAAAAAGATAAAGAAAAGAGTTGAATTCAACGCATGTTCCTCGCATAATTTAAGAGAGAGCGACAAAGACGCAGCTAACATACACCCACACACCACCCTCTCTCACACACACACACACTCGCACACCAAGACACATAGACACCCACGATACACTTACACAAATAACGAGAAAAACTAAGTAAAAAAAATCACAAAAAAAATATTAAAATAAATTTCTGTAGCGATTTGTTTTCCTTGTAACCCAATAATAATGCAAAATCACATCAACAACATCATTATCATCATCATTATCATTATCATTATTATCATCATTATCATCATTATCATCACCTGGCATCATCATTATTGATGGAAGAAAATTGATTTTTTTTCTGTTGGTTAGCTGTTTTTTGAAAATGAATTATACGCAAAAGCAATATTAATTATAGTTAATTAAATTTAAAACAAACGCAAACAACCCGAAACAAGAACAAAAACAGCAACATCAACAGCAACAGCAACAAGAACAAATTATGTACGAAAGGATATATATTTAAATATATATATGTATATGGATAAAATTAATGAAGAAGCAACAACACCTCATGTCACTGCAATTATATATAAAATTAATTAAACAACAACAAAACAAAGGAAATTAAATAAAAATTATTACTAAAAAAAAAAAAACCAACGAGCAAACACTGCATTTTCAAACAAATATTATTGGTACAAACTGAAACAACAGCATGCAACCAAAATCGGTCCGTGTTTCATTAGTTTTGCCCATTTATTTGTTTGAATCTCTTTTTTTTCGTTTATTTGGGTTTATTGTTTGTTGTCTGGTGGCTGGATTTTTTCCCCGCACACATCCTTCCCCGAAATGAACAGCGCCAGCGGGAATAATAAATAAAATGAATAAATAAATAGCAGCGACTGGCAAACAGTGCGTGTCATAATTAACTGACCTATACTTCCCGCCAATTGTCTGCTGATGGTCAGTCGGCCAGGGTTGCCAGGCGATGGCAAAGCTGGGGGTTTTACTGGTCAGGATTTGAACACTCTACTGTCCCCCATGGAATTTGCTCCTGCAAATTGCATTGATCGTGAAAATGCTGGCAATAACGTAAGTATGACGACAAAATCGTTGCAATCGCTGATGATTGAGATAAATCTAGGACGGAATTTTAGCCCCTAAATTGAATAAAAATAAAAATTGCATATGGTTTTTCCATGGACTTCCCAAACTTTAAATTACTTAATGAAGATGTTAACCAGGTATAAAAATGGTACCTGCCTCAATAAAAGTTTGTTATGTTAAAAACGTAAAAATGTAGGATTACAAAAGTTTAAAGCGTTTAGATTTTAATAAACAATATCATACAAAATTAAAAATTCAATGCTATTAATGAAATTATGAGTACTAGACCTTTTTATTATTATTCTGTATTATGAACCTTGTGAAATGAGTGAACTTGAAATTAATTTAAAAGTCAATTGGAGACAGCGACATTTCGAAGCATAATATTCCTTATTGATATTTCGGAAACTGTCGGTTATCTACACCCCCAAATTTTAAAAGTTTTTGGCTTTTTTCCCCTGTTTCTAATGGACTGACGATGATAGACTTAAGCACTTGGGCCAACTCGACGGCCGGATGTCGAAGGTGTAACATTTAATTTAATAAAAACTTTGCCTGTGGCTACAGTCGCAGTGGCAGTCTGGCAGGCAGTTTTGGATTAGCCAAGCGGCGATTATCGACGGCGTGGCTAAGCCAAGCGTTAAGCACCTGGGCTAATAGAATTTGGCACGAATGTGCTTCCAACTCGACGAGATAACGTCGGATTACGGCGTATTTGTATTTTCGGATCCGTAATTGAATGCCCGCATGCGGGAAAAGTGTATATACACGTATAGCATGTAGTATGTAGTGTAGTTACAGTCTGGGAATCGTTGGTTACGCCCGACTGCCGGCGATTGTAAATTGTAACGCTTCACTAGCAAAAGGCGCAAAGAGTTTTAAGTGCGGCCGTAAAAGTTGCAGGAACTTCCCATTCCCCCGTTTCAATTTGGTTAACCCTTTTCCCCCTTTTATTTTTGCCCACGCACTGTCTGAGTGTGTTTTGGGCCAAAAGTCAAATAGAATTGAATGCCGAACATAAATTACGTATTATTAATTGCCGCCGCCGCTGTCGCCAGTGTCACCAATGTCACCACCAAAAAAAAAAAAAACCGTCGACTCAACCAAATGTTCGACAGCAAAAGGGGTTATATCGATGTTGACAACAATAACTTTTCCGCCTCTGCATATCCACATCCACATCCACAACCACTTCCACATCCATATCCATATCCAACCCCCCACCTCATCCCACGCACTTGAGTCATTTCCCTTGCTAGTTACAGATCTAACTTGTGAAAGTAAACAAAGTTGGAAATATATAGTCTTTCGCTAAAGGATTTATTACTACAAAGTATCTTTACAAATAATTATCGTCTTCAAAGTTCGATTTTCAATCAATGCGATATATTAATAGTATTTAAAATCATGCATTGCTAATTATTAAACATAATAACTTGACAATAAAAAGTTTGGCACTATCATCTGTTAAAAAAAGCTATGGCTTTCAATTTTAGATCGATGAAGTACACATATTTAAAAAATAATTGTATTACAAAACCAATTACCAATTTATGTGCTTTATAGGAACAAATTAAAGTAACATTAAAATAAATTAGACATTTGTAGAGGGGTATACCACAATAAAGATTTAAGTGTAGGTAAATGGAAAATGTAAACATTGTGGCTGGATGATATATTCCATTTTAAGATCTGATATGGTGTGCCACCTGCTGATCCCCGATGACAGCCATCCATCAGCCGAAACTTTCTGCACGTCATTGGGTCGAACATGCAAACACTCGCCGGTATAAATATTTAGATATCTCCGCCACTAAACATGAATTGGCATTATCATAACTTGCGTTTTATTGCCAAAACATTTATGAGCGACAGACAACAGCGAGGAGTTTTGTTAAGGAATGAGGAGTGTGGAAAGTCAAAGTGTAGAGTGTGGAGTGTAGAGTGTAGAGTGTGGAGGGGTCGAAAGGTGGGCTCGAAATGCGTCAAAGTGCGTGTCGAAAAGTTACTGGGTATTCGAATACCCTTCGCTTGGCTTTCAAAGGGGCGGCCCCCTGCCATAATGATCATAATAATAGTTTTACGGGTTAGAGAAGTCACAGTCGCAGCGACGGCGACAACGAGCGGCCATAATTTAGCAGCAAATCGACATTGGGTTAAATCGACGAAATGCCTTGTGTCCTTTCTTGTCTAACAGTGATGGTTGTTTCCATTCTCAGTACCTATTCAATAAATTAGGTCATATTTGCCCTATCCACAAAACAATACAAATTGAAATCATATTGCAAGCCCAACTTGACTATAAATAGTAAGATCATAATATGTTATACCTTCTTCATTTCAGTAGGTACTATCTATAGTATCTAAAGCTATGTATATAAGCTTAAACATTAAATTGCTTAATTCTTTAAATACAACTATAGATGATTTAATTTATTGTATTTTAAGAAACATATTAGTAAAAAGAGCAATGTTTTTATTCAACTTGTTGTTACAATTTTATAAAGTCAAAGATGTTAATTTCCTTCAAAATAACAACGTTGTTTTCCAATTTTTTGGTACTGTTTGGTAAAGTAAACGAAAGGCTTAAAGTGGCCTGCAGTACCTTTGTCATCACTGATTTTAACCCCTTGACGGTGCGTAGATGTTGCGTGAGTTGGCTTAAAAAGGGGTGGCCTTCGGCGGGTTGGTGGGTGGGTGGCCCAAGTTTGTTATGCATATTTGATTAGTTAGCGCATTTTGTGGATACGCACAGGAAGTTGACTCTTTGCGTGCCGCACGGCGAAGGGGTTGAGAGCACCCCCGACCCCCGACCCCCGTCCCCCGAAACCCCCTTTTTCTGGTCGTCGATGGGCGGAGCTGTTGTTGTACGTAAGCGGCCGCACGGCAGCAATTAAAATGCTCAACTTGTCAACAACGCATTCCAATTCCATCCCCCAATCTCCACCTCAGACCCCTTTTTTTTTCGCAAAACGGCTTTGATTTGTGGACAACAAGAGTCGAAGGACTGTTGACAACATGACGATGATGACATGGTGATGATGATTCAGTTGGCTGTTTGGTGGCGATGATTCAGCCAAATGGGATGTTCCCAACAGCGGGGACATGACTTGGGAAGCTGCACACTTTTTACTGACTCTCCATCGATTCATTAGCAATCAAAGAATTTCTATGCTTTGTCGGTAAAAAGCCCATTTTTTAAGTTAAAAAAAATCTTTTCACTTATGAATGCATGTTCTTGTATAAATCAATGTATATAAAGTATATATAAAATAAGATACTTTTTGCGATACTTTGTGGTTAATTATGTTATCCTGTGTATACATATTTGTTATAACATGGGAATAGGTTTATTTTTAAATCAATTTGTGCACTAGCAACTAATAGACAAAAGATCACAATTAAGTATATTTTATTAAAATATTTTGCAACACTGTAAGGGAAATTTACACATGCTTCATTATTTAGCTCTAAGCGATCTTGGCTGTTCATACTTATATTTCTTAAGCTATAAGTTTAATATGCAACGTGTAGTTTAAACAAGGACCAGCCAACATTTATCATCAGGGGATAAAGAAACCTAGTAAGTGTAATTTATCATCCATCTAGGAGCAGGTATTTTTAAGTAACTTGCAACATTGTAAGGGAAATTTGCATATGCCTCGTTTGAGGTGCTTAAATATGGAATGGCAACTCTGACGTGGAGCAGCAGCATTACCCACTGTATCCATTATCCCCGTGGGCGGTGCTTCAAGGCCACAAAAAGCTGCCACAGTCAGCACCTCGATTAATGGACACGGACTAATCAGGAAAGCGGGGGGACATCCAATATCCAAGCACACACATCACATATTGGCGTATCTTCTGATCATTTTATAAGCACAATTTCCCTCTTTTACGATTATCCTCTCATGCGAAACAGGCTTTTTTTTTTGCAAAAAAAAAAAACAAATAGGGGGGCAACTCTGCCTATCAATACGTGGAAATTTGATTTCAATTTTTTCGGTTGCAGCGGTCATAAAAAGAGCTCACGCACACACACACACGCACACACCTGTGCTCGAAAAAGGGTTGACAGGGAAGTCGAAAAAGGTTTAAGGGGGATCGGCTGGCTATATCCCTGTACTATATACCTTTATATGTTTGTGTATTTGTGCAACCATCAAAATGCAAATGCGCGACCATAAATAATGTGCACAGACGGAGACAAGCGGCCTAATAAAAACCACCCAAACGATTTAAAAAAAAAAAAAATACAAAAAAACAAAATACCTATAAAACCGAGACAAAACCCAAAATCGAAGTGGG